AGTTGAAATGAGGAAAAACAATAACAAACATTGTTTAATAAGTGGAACATGGAACGTACATAGCTTGAATGTTAGAAAACTGAAAATTGTTAAAAATTAAATGGAATGTGTAAATGTTGACGTACTAGGCATCAGTGAGATGAGATGGACCAGGTTTGGCCACTTCGAATCAGATAATCATATGGTACACTATACAGGGAATGAAACCAGAAGAAGAATGTTGTTGCATTCAAAGCAAAAAAAGTCTCTTTCAAGTTCTATCCTGAAATACAATGTTGTAAGTGATAGAATAATATCCATACACATATAAGGAAGACCCATTAACTATTATTCAAATATACATTCCTATATCTAGAGACAAAGAGGGAGAAATTGAGACTTTCCCCCCAAATTTTGCTGTCTGAAATTGACTGAGCATGTAATCAAGATGTGTTAATGATAACTGGTGACTGGAATGTAAAAAGAAAGAAACAGTGAAGAAGGACTAGTAGTTGGAAAATATAGGCTTGGTGATAGAAATGAGGCTGAAAAGAGAATGATTTAATTTTGTATTTACAATGATTTATTCATTGCAAATGTTTTTGTTGTTGTTATGTGCCATTGAGTCATTTGTGACTCATAGCTGCCCTATGCACAACAGCCCTAAACTCAGCTCTGTTCTATGCCAATCACACTGTCTCTGACACACCCATCCCGATTACCCCAGTCACTGAATCAGTCCACCTCATAGAGGGCCTTCCTCTCCTGCGCTTTCCCTCCACCCTCCCAAGCATGATGTCCCACTCCATGGACCGGTCCCTCCTTCCAACATGTCCAAATTATGTAAGACAAAGCCTCAGAATCCTTGCCTCCAAGGAGCAGCCCGGTTTAACCCTCTCCAGGATGAATCTGTTTTCTTAGCAGTCCATGGTACATTCAATACTCTTCTCCAGCACCACAGCTCAAAGGCATCAATTCTCCTTCTATCCTCCCTAATCATTGTCCAACTCTCTGACACATAACAAGTGATTGCAAAGACCATGGCCTGTATCAGGCGCACCTTAGTCTCCAGAGAGACACCATTGCTCTTCAGTACTTTGGAGAGGTCCCTAACAGCAGACTTTGCCATCGCAATATGTCTTTCAATTTCCTGGCTGCTGGTGCCACGAGTGTTGACTGTGAACAATCTCAATCTCTTCACCATCCATTCTGATGCTACCGATTGGTCCAGTGGTGAGAATCTTTGTCTTCTTGACATTGAGCCTCAATCCATATTGAAGGCTGCAGTCCTTGACCCTCTACAGCAAGCGCTTTAGATCCTCTTTAGTTTCAGCAAATCAGATTTGACTATAATTATGGAAGAAATCATTAGAGAAACTCAGTATTGGCATTCAAAACTACACTGGGGCGAACTGTGGATCAGATCATCAATTATTCATATGCAAGTTCAAACTGAGGCTGAAGAAACTGAAAGTAAGTCCACAAGAACCAAGATATGATCTTGAATCAATTCCATCTGTGTTTCAAGATCATTTTAAGAATAGGTTTAAGGCATTGAACACCAATGACCAACAACCAGTTGAGTTGTGGGACGACATCAAGGATATCATCCATGAAGAAAGCAAAAGGTCATTATAAAAACAGAGGAGACAGAAAAAAAATCTAAATGGATGTCAGAAGAAACCCTAAAGATTGCTCTGCAGCATTGAGAAGCCAAAACTAAAGGAAACCATGTCAAAGTGAAAGAGTTGAACAGATGATTTCAAAGGGCAGCTCAAGAGGACAAAGCAAAATATTATAATGGAATGTGCAGAGAGCTGGAATTGGAGAATAAAAAGGGAAGAACTCGCATTGCATTTCTCAAGCTGAAAGATCTGAAAAACAAATTTAAGCCTCATATCAGAATATGAGATGCTATAGGCAATATACTGAATGACCAGAAAGCATCAAAAGAAGATGGAGGGGAATATACAGACACTCTACTAGAAAGAATTGATTGACAGTGAAAAATTTCAGAATATATCATATGAACAGGAGCCAATGGTAATGAAGAAGGAAGGAGAAGCTGCATTGAAGGCATTTTCAAAAAATAAGTCCCATCCACCAGATGCTCTTCTGGAGAAGGAGGGGCAATCTCCTCCTCTACCAGTCAGATCTGATTTGATGGTACACACACACACACACACACACACACACACACACACAAACATAATAAAATAAATTTTAAAAAAGTCCCCAGGAATCGATGGGATACGTATTGGCTTGTTTCAATTAACAGATGCAGCCTTGGGTGCACTCACCTGTCTATGCCGGGAAATTTGGAAGACAACTGTCTGGCCAACAGATTGTTTGCATTCCCAAGATAGGAGATCCAACTGAATGTGGAAACTATTGAACAATATCATTGATTTCACATGCAAGCAAAGTACTGCTGAAAATGATTTTTTTAAAATGGATGTAACAGTACATAGATAGGGAACTTCCAGAAGCTAAAGTAGGATTTTGAAGAGTCCGTGGCATCAGGGATATACTCTGTGATGTCAGATGGATCCTGGCTGAAAGTGAAGAATACCAGAAGAATGTGTATTTGTGCTTTATTGACTATGCAAAGGCATTTGATTATGTGGACTGTGCTCATATAGAACCTATACCAAACCAGGAGGCTGTTGTGTAAACAGATCATGGGAGCACTGCATGGTTTGATAATAGAAAGGGAGTGCACCAGGATTGTATTCTCCCTCCATACCTATTCAATCTGTATTCTGAGCAAATTATCTGAGAAGCCAGACTCTGCGGAGGAGTGTGGCATCAGGATTGGAGGGAGACTCATTAATAACCTGTATTATGCAGATGATACAACCTTACTTGCTGAAAGTGAGGAGGTCTTGAAGCACTTGTTGCAGAGGATCAAGGAATGCAGCCTTCGGTATTGCATCTCAATGTCAAGAAAACAAAGATTCTTACCACTGGACCAGTAGGCAGTATCATAATGGATGGAGAGGAGATTGAAAGTGTCAATAGCTTCACCTTACTTGGATCCACAATTAACACCCTTGGTATCAGCAGTCAGGAAATAAGGAGATGCACTGCACTGGGAAAAATCTGCAATTAAGGACTTCTCCAAATTATTGAGGAGTAATGATGTCAGTTTGAGGACTAAGGTGCATCTGATTCAGGCCATAATCTTTCCAATTACTTGCTATGCAGCTGAGAGCTAGACAATGAATAAAGATGATTGGAAAAGAATTGATGCCTTTGAATTGTGATTTTGGAGAAGAGCACGGAACATCCCATGGATGGCCAAGAGGTTGGAGCCAGAGTGCTCTTTGGAGGCAAGAATGATGAGGCTTCCCCTTACATACTTTGGGTATGTTGTGAAGAGAGGCTATTCCTTGGAGAAGAACATGATGCTGGGAAGGGTGGAGGATCAACGAAGAAGAGGAAGACCTTCAACCAGGTGGATTTGCATGGTGAGTGCTGTAATGGGCTCTTGTGTGCCAGGAAGTGTGAAGATGGCACAGGATAGAACAGAGTTCAGATTTTTGTTCATAGCGTCGCTATGAGTCGTAGTCAACTCAATTGCACCTAACAACAATAGCAACAACAATGTGACTTTTGATTATGTGATAGAAGAAATCATCAGATTATGACTTTTCTTTGTATTTATATTTAGTTTGTCATCTGAAAGAAATTGAAGCAGAGCTTAAAGACTTAAAACATATGTAGTTAAATGGTGTGGTAGTAAGAACTTTTTGAAAAAATTAATTGACCTGCTTTCTGAAATAAAAGGATTCTGAGAGATTCAATTTGCGGTATCCAAATTTTGGCATATATTAATTTCTTGCTGATATGGCAAGCCTCCTAATTCCTTTCTGAAATAAGATGTTATTGTTGTGCATCGTTGAGTCGGAACTGACTCATAGCTGACTCTCCCCTGAGTTTTCAGAGGCAGTATGTCGCATGGGAGGAGCTAGGTCTCCTGAGGAGCAGCTAGCGGATTCGAACCACAGGTTTTGGAGATTGCAGAGCAGCTTCTTACCACTCGGTAAATACTTCCTATCCGGAAAAAGCTAGAAGATATAAATCTGACAGCATTTCTGACACATTAACTGTGTGCTATCGTATCAATAGATTTGATCTGTTAAATAATGGCAATTCAGTCTCCAAACTGAAATGTGTAGTTTAAGCAGATGGCAAGTCATTTAACTTTATTGAACTCCTTCGGAATCGCTAATCATGAATATTTGTAGAGCTATTTGGTAGAAATGAAATTAGAACTCAGAAGAAAGTTATTTTGACGAATATGAAGCATTTAACATTTTAAAAAAGGGTTGTTTGGGAGTGCAAAATCCCTGGATGTCTCGAAATTACTAAGCATTAACATCTGTCCCATTACTATGGACAGAACTATACTTTTAAATAATTGGTCTAATGCCCCAAATCTGAGATGTTTGTGTTCATTTAGATCTGTGAGAGTATCAGTTGTTTCCATGAAACAACTCTGCCCTCATTTTGAGGAACAGTTTAGTCTTTAAATATAATTATTTAAATATATTTGCTTAGACTTTGTGATTTGTAATCATTAACCTTCTAACTATCCATTCTTGTGTGAATAAGACTAAAATTGTGTGAATAAACTTTTCTAGACTCCTTTGATATTTATGGCAAAGCCTACATTATTAGTGACACTTTGTCACAAAGAGCCAAAGTTTTGGACTTTTAAACCTGACGCTTAATTATTAAAAAAATTTAAAAACAAATCAAAACTTGGGCACTTTCCCTAGACCTGAGTTGCTCACATGCACTCTCAACACAAACAACGAGTTTGTCGCAATAGCCGTGCGCGGAAGGTTACAGAAGAGCAATGTACTTTGATTTTAGTAATTTAGTCTTGGTTGCGCTGGTTACGGCGCTACCTCCGCTGTGGTACTTTATTGTAACAAAGTAGTTCCGGTTCGTGTTGTTTCGGCCAGAGAGCTATCGCCGCCATTTCAAGACTGTGAGCGGTTGATGGCCAACCAGGGTTCCTAAGGTTCAAATCCTGTAACGGCTGCCACCTCTTAAGCCTTCCAGAGCACGGTACAGCGGCTATCCTCTTACCACTACCTCCAGAAACATTTTGCTACTGGCGGCGGCCGAATTCAATTACCCCTTCCTCGCTTTCCCTCAAGAAGCTCCAGATGGCGTCTTCCGTGGGCAACGTGGCCGACAGCACAGGTACGGGTGTCCCGTTCTACTTCAGCAAACGCTCTCTGGGGGGGATCGCTCCATTCTCTGTCTCTCAACCCCTCCCTCCATTTAGCCACCCTCATATTTGTGGCATTGCTCAGCGATTTTTGTTCTACCGGCATCTGTTCAGTTTCCTCTGTCTTCCTTTCCCCAAGTATAATCTCTTTCATTCTTGCTGCTTCTCCTTCCCCCCATCCCCCATAAATGATCCAGCTTTCTGCTCCCGGACGCTTTTAACCACACTTGCAAGAATCAAATCCTTGCCGGTTCACGGAACTTCGTTACCGTTTCTTCCCAAATGCCAGTTCACTTTTGTTCTTTCCTCTTTATTTTTTAATAAACCTCCCCCCACCCCCAGCTAGTTTTTAATTGTTCTCTGTCATGCTGAGTCTGGGGTGCCATTTCGTTGTCATATTTGCATCACCCAACGAAGAGCAGAAGCAGCTAGCCAAATTACAAGGAACTCGAGAAGAGGGCATATTAGGCGCACCCCACTGGGCAGCGCCTTTCTAGTGTTCTTTCGGTTGAGTGGCCTCAGTTTGTATTGGAAATTTCCAAGGGTCCCTTTCGCCACCCAACTCATTCCACAAGGTACCTCGGCTTTGGAGCCTATGCCTCTTACCCTTCCGCGGGGAAACCACACCCTTTCCTTGGGAGGTTGGATGACCTGAAGTCCAGTTGCTAACCCTGGGGGCAAAACGTGCCTGCTTCTTTTTCTTGCTTTCTCTTTGAACTGTTTTCAGAATCCCCACTTGATACTTTCTCAGCATATTCCTCCGCCATCTCCTCTGGGTCTTCCATCCCCATTTTTTAGCCTAGTATCACTTTTTCCATAGGATGTATATGGTTTTGGTTTTATTTATTTATTTTATTTTTAAGTTTCATCTGCTTGAAGAGTTTGTAAAGCCACTGGAGTGTAGCTGCACAAGTGCCAGGAAGGTACTCTTTAAGACAATTCAGTCGACAGCATTTGTAACTAAAACAGTGAAAATCCTACCAAATTCTAGGAATTTCTTTCACCTGCCTTTACTTATTGAGGGTGTTTGGTACGGGGATTGGGATAGAGCTGCGAATCTAAGATTTCCCATGAGATCTTTTTGGTTTTGTTTCGTTTTCAACTGAATTGGAATGTGGAGAGTTTTGTTGTTTTTTTAATATTGTGCTGTAATTATGGACTGCATGGTAACCCTTGCTTGTTTACCTTGCAGCCATTTTCAAATTGAATAGTATCTTCTATAATTGTAGACTGTGAGATGAATAATTAGCCATTGGTTCCATATTAATTTGTCACAGTGACGTGGAAGATTTAAAATTCTGATTCTGTAATGTCTTTTTTTACATATGTTATTTGAGGAAGTAATCACTTCAAGTGTTAAAACAGCTTTCAGAAGTGACAGATGTGTTGAAAAAAGGGCCTTGCAAAGGAGCTCCAGCCCCCTAATGGTTAAGGAGTTTCCCTTCCAACCCAGAGGCAGGGGTTCGAATCCACCTGTTGCTTTTGCGAGAGAAAGATGGGCATTTTCCTCTCATGGGATTTACAGCCTCTGAAAACGCCCTGGAGGGTCTTCTGTGATGAGTCCACTCTGATTCCCTGGCAATGAGTTGAATTTGAGTTGAAGGAAGTAGGAATTTCTGGAACCTGATTTAAAATTTTATTTTCTAGTTTCTATTCGAAATAATAGAGTTCTCTGGTGGTGTAGTGGTAAGGAGCTGTGCTTCAGTCCCAAAGGCAGAGTTGAAATACATCAGCTGCTCTGCGAGAGGACAGACAGTTGCCTCCTGTTTCTGAAAACCCACTGAAGGGTCAGCTGTGAGTTGGTTTCCACTCAAAGGCACACAACAACAATTAGAGATATAGATTTGATACTCTTTACCTTTTTGTCTCATGGTTTGTTATGCATTATGCCAGGAAATTTGTTTTCTGTAGCTTGAAGGATTGAGGTGCTAGGCTCACATTTGACGCTATGATGCTGGTAAAATTTAAGTTCGTGCTTTACATTTCAACATAAGCATGTTTTTTTTGTGAAAGTATTATGGCCAGATTTCTAGGACTATATCATTTTGAATAAGTATTGGTAATCTGAGGTTGTTTTCCAGATCCCCCTACTGTTTTGGGCTTTACCTTATCCTAAAGGACACATAAATGTGTCTGAATACATAACATATTTTATATTATCCTTTATGTATCTGAATACATCAGTTACATATGTTGTTATGAACTCTAGAGTCAGAACTAATAGATGACCTTCTAGAGGGTTTTTTTCAGAGGCTGTCACAAGCGACTCGACGGCACATAACAACAACAAATCTCACAGAAGGAGGTTGCCCATCTTTCCTTTGGAAAAGCAATTGATGGATTTGAACCACCTGCCTTTGGATTGAACCACCAGAGCTCACTTACACATACCAGAGTGCTTTTATTTGGTATTCTATTGAGCTTTAGCAAATATTTTAGCATTGCCACATTCATTTAAAAAAAAAACCACCCCATTATACTTGTACGTAGCTGCTTGGTTTATATAGCTGTTTGTAATGTCTTAATCCTTTAGTGCCAGGGCTCTTTGGAAACTTAAGTGTTAAACCAGTGTGAGTTAGATTAGCCAATTTCCTTTTTATGAGTTAGTGATAGTAGCAGAGCAATATAGTTTTGGTGGTCTTTATTTAACTTGTTGGATGATCCCTTTAAATGTTTTGGATTTTGACAGATGTGTTTATCTTGTTTATCAGTCATTTTACAAATAAAACAATGATTTTTTTTCCCTTATGTTCAGTTTCTAGAGTTACCCTTTAAAAAAAAGTAAGTTGTCAGTTATACACACTTATATTAATGTTATCAAGAGTAAAACCACATTGATAGTTAGCAGTACTATCTGCCTTTCTCCATATAAATTCAACTTAAAACCATTAAGGTTTCTGGTAGATTATTCTGATATTAAATCTTTGTGATCTTGCAAATCACATTGTTTTATGTTTTGTTTCTAAATATTAGGAGATGATGTTAAGTGGATCATTAGATGTTACTTATGATTTATAGTTTAGAATGATTATAATATTTAATATTACTTAGAACTAAATATTCTTACTTAGCTTGGGAAGGAAATATTAATGAATGACACCTAAGATGCTAATTCTGCACCTTATGTTAACTTGGTTAAATTATGAGCAGAACACTCTAGTGCTTTACGTGATTTCAAGCATTTTTCATCTTTAAGTTTATTATACCATATTTTTCCATTTTTTGTTTGCATTTCTAACTTTTTGTTTCCCCCTCCTCCCTCCCTCAAATGTTTTGATGATTCTCCAGAACCAACGAAACGTATGCTTTCCTTCCAAGGGTTAGCTGAGTTGGCACATCGAGAATATCAGGCAGGCGATTTTGAGGCAGCTGAGAGACACTGCATGCAGCTCTGGAGACAAGAGCCAGACAATACTGGTGTGCTTTTATTACTTTCATCTATACACTTCCAGTGTCGAAGGCTGGACAGGTACGAAATGTGGGGTACTTACTGTTGATTATTGCCTGTGGATACTGAGCTTGACAAATGATATATAAGTATTTGAACTTGAGATTTTCTAGCTCAAGATTTTAATTGTAAATTAGCATTTACAGTCTTGCCCACTTGTGACATGGCAACTCAAAAGCCATGTCTTTTCTCCTTCTTTTTGTTTTATTGGTCATAATGAAATACCTTTTAGGGGCTTTTACATGTTGGTCTATTTGTAAACTGTTCAAGTAATAAGTTGTTCTTAGTGTACATCTGAGCATTTAGTCTCACCTGGGTAAGACATGTCAATGTGAGGAAATGAAATGTTCAGAAATGATGGTGCATATACTGTGATAGCAGTTGCATGTGTGATTCATGTTACAGAAACTGCCTTTATAATGTGTTATTTTGCTAATTCAATTAAGAATTTGTGTTCAGTAAATACTTACTGATTTTCTTTAAATACTCAAAGACATTAACAAAGGGAAGATAAGGCTCATGCACGTATCTTCTTTAATGATCATGGTTTTCAGTTTGTTGATTTGGTAGTAAGACTAAAACCATTGCCATAGAGTCTATTCCAACTCCTATTGACCATGAAGTTTTCAGGACTGTAAATCTTTATGGAAAGAGACCGGCTGTCTTTCACCCTTAGAACCACTGATGAATTAGAATCACTGACCTTTAAGTTAGCAGCTTGATATCTTACCCACTAAACCCTCTATGGTTCTTTTAGTGAGACCTTAATAAGAACTTAGCTTATGAAAGAAGTTTTCAATTTGAAATCTAGATTACCTCTACTTTCAGAAAATTTTCATTTCTGAAATTTTCCCTATAATACTTTAGTTAATATATAATGTGTAATTGGGGCCTGGTGGAGCAGTGAATCTACCCAATTGTTCTACAACATAAAGACCTGGCTTACTTAATGACAAAAGCCAAGAAAATCCTATTAGGTCGTTTTACTCTTGTCACATGGGATCATTAATTACTCATGTGTAATTAGGAATAGCAAGATTTCTTCAGAAACTGTTTTAAGTTACATGTAGGCTGCAGCTTTTTCTGTCACATGTCAACAATTTTTGCTTTTTCCAGATCTGCTCACTTTAGCACGCTGGCAATTAAACAGAACCCCCTTCTGGCAGAAGCCTATTCAAATTTGGGGAATGTGTACAAGGAAAGAGGACAGTTACAAGAAGCAATTGAGCATTACCGACATGCATTACGTCTCAAACCAGATTTCATTGATGGTTATATTAACCTGGCAGCTGCACTGGTAGCAGCTGGTGACATGGAAGGGGCCGTTCAAGCATATGTCTCTGCTCTTCAGTACAATCCTGTGAGTAAAATTTTAGTGGTTATTGTTTTACTTTTACAGAAGCCTAGAGAAAAATGCAGTGTACTGATTGAGATTCTAAAATAGGGTTTTGTATGGAATAAAGAAATGTTTGTATACTTAAAATGAAATTGCTTTGAACTGATCTAGATTGTGTTAAAAAATAATTTTTAACAAGAAAGCTCTAGTGACAAATATAAGAATGAGTTTATCCATCTTTTTTTATACTGCCTGTAAAAAATACTACTTGTAATGGTACACATATTTTGGTTACATTTATATAAATTTTGTTAAGTGTTTATAATTTGTCTTTCAAGGAATGACAGATAAAGAATTTTAAACTGTATTTTAAATTAAATGCAAATGTCTGGATCAGTGATGTGAAAACTAGGCTCTTTAATATTTGCTCTTTAATAGCCTAGTCTCTTTGTGTGTGTGTGTGTGTGTACCTACATACGTGTGTATACCATTGAATCGGATCCGACTGGCACAGGAGGAGATTGCCCCTCCTTCTCCAGCAGGGCGTTTGGTGGATTAAAATTCTTTGGGATTGCAGCTCAGCTTCTTGCCACTAGGCCACCAGAGCTCCCTATTCTCATCTCTTTTAATACAATTGTTGTTGTGCCGTCGAGTCATTTGTGACTCATAGCAACCCTATGTACAACAGCCCTAAACCCTGCTCTATCCTGTGCCAATCGCATTGCCTCTGACACACCCATACCGATTACCCCAGTCACTGAATCAGTCCACCTCATAGAGGGTCTTCCCCTCCTGTGCTGTCCCTCCACCCTACCAAGTATGATGTCCCTCTCCAAGGACCTGTCTCTCTTTACAACATGTCCAAAGTATGTCAGACGAAGCCCCAGAATCCTTGCCTCCAAAGAGTAGCCTGGTCTAACCCTCTAGGATGAATCTGTTTGTTTTCTTGGCAGTCCATGGTACATTCAACACTCTTCTCCAGTTAATACAATTAGATGGAATTAATATCCATCTACACTAGGCTTTTAATAGGTTTTCAAAATTTATTTAAATTTCAGATGTTTTCTGAGAAACAAGTGAGGCCCAGCTTGTAGCTTTTGAGTTCATACTGTCTTAAGATCTCTGAAAGTTAAAAAGAAAGTAAGACTTGCCCCCAGAGATTTTGTTATAGTAAGGGGGAAAAGTTTGAGATTAACTAAAGAGATTGGTTATGGGAATCCAGAAAAAGTTTAACAATACCTTAGAAAATTACATTGTTAACATTTAATTTTACAGAATCCCTGGAAGTTGTTTTAATAATACCTACTGTCATGGATTGCCTTGTGTCCTTCCTAAAATACATGTATGTACCAGATAAATAGTGGGATGACATCAAGTATATCATCCATGAAGAAAGCAGAAGGTTATTAGAAAGTTAAGGAAGAAAAGACAAAAATGGATGTCAGAAGAGACTCTGAAACATGCATTAGAATGTTGTTAGGTGTCATTGAGTTGAGTACGACTTACAGTGATCTTATGAACAGATCTGTGCCATCCTCATCATCTCTGACACTGTGTCAGTCCATCTGCTTGAGGGTCTTTCTCTCTTGCAGACTCTCTACTTTTCTAAGCATGATGTCCCTTTCTAAGGAATAGTCTTTCCTAACAATATGACCAAAGTATGTTAGATGAGACTTTGCCACCTTTGCCTCCAAAGAGCACTCTGGCTACACTTTCTCTGAGAGGTACCTGTTCTTTTGATAGTCCATGAGATAGTCAGTACTCTTCTCTAATGCCACAACTCAAAGGCATTGATTCTTCTTTTGTTGTCCTTATTTATTGTCCAACTTTCAAATGTGTAGGAAGCAGTTAGAAAAAAGTTAGGATTGGCATCCTTGCTCTTTAGCATTTTGGAGAAGCCCTTGACAAATTTTCCCAATGCAAAGTGTGTTTTGATTCCTTGATTGCTGTTACAGTGGATGTTGATTGTGGATCCAAGTTAAATGAAATTGTTGATAACTTAAATCTTTTTTTCCCTATATGTCATGATATCTACTAACTTTGAAGGTGAAGATTGTTTTCTTCATGTTTAGATGTAATTCTTATTGAAGGCTGTAGTCTGATCTTCTGCCGCAAGTCCTCCTCACTTTGAACAGTTAAGGTTGTGTCATTGGCATAATGCAGGTTGAGTTTTCCTCCAATCCTGATGAATAATCTTTTTCCTAGAGTCTAGCTTCTTGAATGATTTGCTCAGTATACAGATTAAATAGATAGGGAAAAAGAACACAGACCTGATGCACACTTTTAAACCATGCAGTGTTCTCTTGCTCTGTTTAGACAACAGCTTCTTGCTCTATATGTAGTTTTCTAGGTATATGCACTAAAACACAGAGATGACAAAAGAAAGGAAAGAAATATTGTAGTAAAAGATATGAACAGAGTATTTCAAAGGGCAGTTCAAAGAGGCAGAACAAAGTATTATAACAAAATGTGCAAAGAGCTGGAGTTAGAAAACCAAAAGGGAAGAATATGCATAGTATTTCTCAAACTGAAAGAGCTGAATAATAATATCAAACCTTGTGTTGCAATACTAAAAAGAATGCTTTATACAAAATCTTGGTTGATGCAGGAAATAAAAAAAATGGAAGGAATTTACAGAGTTACAGTACCAAAAAGATATGGTGGAGTGAGAACCATTGCAGGAAGTAGCATATGATTAAGAACCAATGGTAATGAAGAAGTCCAAGTTACACTGAGGACATTGACGAAAAATAGGGCCCCAGGAATTGATGGAATAACAGTTGAGGTGTTTCAGGAAATAGATGCAACCCTGGATGTGCCCAGCAGTCTATGCTAAGATAAGAAAGCTAAGAAGTCTATGCTAAGGTAAAAGGCCAGTTAACAGAGAGCCATATTTGTTCCCATTTCAAAAAAGGTGATCGGAAGTGATCAAACAATATAATTAATGATATTAGTATCATTAATACTCAAATAAAATCTTGCTGAAGATTGCCAGAAATTCAGGCTGGGTTCAGAACTAATATAAAATACCAGAAAGATGTTTGTGTATTAGAAGCACTTGTCTAAACAGAGCAAAGGAATAAAATCAAGAAAAGTATGAAATAAAATCAAGAACAGTGTGCATGTGCTTCAGGGTTGTGTCCATGCTTACAGCTATTCAATTTGTATTGTGAACAAATCATTTGGGAAGCTTTACTATATAAAGAGGAATTTAACATCAAGATTGTAGGGAGATTAATCAATAACCTGTGCTGTGCAGATACAACTTGACTTGCTTAAAGTGAGGAAGACTTGTAGCATTTGCTGCAGAAGATCAAAGCCTTCAATATAGATTGCATCTCAATGTCAAGAAAATAGAAATCGTCTCACTGGATCAGTAAGGCAACATTATGATAGAGAAAAGATTAAAATTATCAACAGTTTCCTCTTACTTGGATCAACAGTTAACACCCTTGGTACTGGCAGTAAGGAAATCAAAAGATGCATTGCATTCTCTCCAATGTTCTAATAAACAGTGATGTCAGTTTAAAGACTAAGGTGTGTCTGATCCAGGCCAAGGTATTTTCACTTGCTTTCTATGCATCAGAAGGTTGGACAATGCATAAGAAGAGTTGATGCATTTAATTTGTGATGTTGGAGAAGAGTACTGAACAGCCTATGGACTGCCAAAAGAAGAAATAAATCTGTCTTAGAGGAGGTGAAAATAGGGTGCTCCTTAGAGGCAAAGATGGTGAAATTTTGTCTCATGTCCTTTGGACATGTTATCATGAGGGATCAGTGCTTAAAGACTGGGAAATGTTGTGGTTCAGAGATAAGAGGAAGACCTTATACAGGATAGACTAACTCAATATATATATAACAATGCCCTTGAGCTTAAAAGATTGTGATGATGGTAGAAGATAAGGTCTTTTGTTCATAGGGTTACTTTCAGTAGTAATTCACTTGGTGGCAACTAACAACCCAAGTGATACAATGTGGAAACTGCTATGATCTCCTTTGATCTGATAAAACAAAAAGTTGAAGCAGGAATAAAGGTGGAATGAAACATCCCTTAATCCTTTCCCAACCCTAATCTGATGTAAAGGGAGTTTTTCTAGGGTGAAACCTAGGGTGTTCCCTAGTTTGTAATACCTTTTATTTTGTTGTTGTTGTTGTTGTTAAGTGCCCTGGAGTTGCAGTGGAGTCCCAGGCGACTCATAGCGACCCTATGAAAGAGAGTCCTTGACTCTTGTGTGCCTTTCATCCTCTCTCCAAGTTCATGGGGTTTCCAGAGGCAAGCTATTATGGAAGTGGATGCCACTCCTCCTTCCACACCTTTTATTTTACTGGAGATAAAATAAGAGGAAAGCAAGTAGAAATGAGGGACTCCTTAGTGCCTGCATCACCAAGGAAGAATTGCCAGGATTGGAGTACAACTTTTTTTTTTCTATAATTATATTTTATTAATTTTCATAAACATTTACAGAGATTTTGGGTTTCCTTTCATTCACCGCTGCACCATTCTCTCTACCCTCCTCCCAGTTTATTCTTGTCCAAATGCCACAGTGCTTGTCAAAGCCAGTTCTGATTAATCTTC